CCTTCAGTCTCTACTCGCCACCCAGAATTACTCTCCGCAAATGTGGCATTTTGTAGAAATTAATAGTTAATGTGACTGGGAAGCCAAACTTAGTTAATCCTCGCCATTATTGACTGGTCTTTATTTCATTGCCGTATGAATAATAAAGTGCCTGGTCTGTATGTTGTGAACATTATGGATGTTGTATTGGATTATAGGATTGAAGTGACAGCCCATTGTCTGGTCTTGATAGGGGTGGATTTTATCTGTTATTTCTTGGAAATCCTTTGTGAAATGGTAATTTCATTTTTGTTGAAAATCACTGGGTGATTAGCTGGCAAAGTAAAAACATTCTTAAAAGGATTGTGTTAATAGTGAGCCAATGAAGACCAGGAATTTAGATTTAGATGAGTAACAACAAATAGCCTTAAAAATTATATTAACAAGATACTTAGTTCTCTCATTGTCTTCTACATATGAAGCAATAAAAGTAAAACATTTTGAACATGCTTCGGTGGATATGCACTAAATGCATCAAGAATGTTTTAAAAACTATTTCTCCAGAACTTAATAAAGACTGATATTGGACCAAAAAGAAAAGATAAATTCTTCCAGTTTCACTACAGCTTAGCTACGCAGTGGAGGTGTTTAGCAGGTGCAACTTAAAAGAGACGTATATAGTTGATGACAGCTTAGCACGTGTCCTTGCATGTGTCACACGATTTATTATGTCACTTTATATCACCTTAACGCTAGGTTCTATAACGCTTAGCGTTGTTGTCACCTTTGATGACTTGAGTTATTGGTGGAATGATCCCCCCCAGACCCTGCTTAACTGATTTCTAAAAGGGCTGAATTAAAAAAAAGATCTTGAGTTAAAAGTTAACGAGATTGTGTCAGTTCACGTAGAAAAATTCCAACATTCTATAGAATCAGTTTTCATGTTTTAGATATAAACATTCTAGATTCTCTTTATGCAACTCCAGGCTCTGCATTTTAAACATTTTCATTCCACTTCTTGTGTAGAACTTAAATCAAGAGATCAAAACAACTCCATTTAACTCCACAAGATTTAATCAAGCTCATAGGGGTAAAAAAGCGAGCGGATTTGGTATCGGTATTATCTGAACTGGAAACATGAAAAGCCGTCAGCTCTTCCCTGTGAGGACCACCCCTTGGCGTATTAGCTACATGAGTGGGTATGAAAAGAGGCTGAAGATTGCATGTACAGTTAAAGCTGTGGTAGTTACACCTGGGCAGACTACAGTTGAAGGGTGCAGCAAGGAGATAAATTGGGGTGGCCATTGTTTGTCTCCTTCTGATGGAATTCCGAAATCTGTATCGTGAAAGAAATGATCAGAACTTGAAAGTTGGTCTGGAATTTGTAACTGAAAGATTGGGACTGCTAGTTTCAATCTAGAAGAGATCTACAGGCCCTGGGGTCTATTGAAATGTAGAAAATTGGCCTGAAACAATAGCTTTCATTTTATGATGTAGGCCCACTTGCCTCAGTTGAGTGAACTAAGTAAAACCA